AGTTTCTTTGGGGGGTAATGAGAATGTTGTAAAATTGATCGTGGTTATATCTGCATAACTCTGAATATACAAAAGACCATTTAATTGTACTCTTTAAATGGGTGAATTATGTGGTATGTGACCTATAATCTCAGTGAAACTGTTATTTGAAAAAAAGATTTGAAATTCAGTTTTTGAAATCTGTTAAATGGATAATGGAATTGGTAATAGGAACAAACTTAATTGCATATTTGACATCACACCTACAGCTAATGTACATAGTAAGTTGTGGTAAAGGCGAGATCCCCACAGTAACCTGGATAAGGTACTGAGTGCTCTATCTAGTACAGATTTTTTTGAGTCAGCCTGCCTATCCTGTTGTGTCCTACTATTCTCTATTTTGTTCATGCAGTACACATACAAATTATGAAGTTGGACACCAAACTTGTATGGCAGTAGTCAGTTATAATGTGGATACTGGGTTGTTCCAGAAAATGCTTGTGTCTATTTTTAAAGATTATTATTGAAATGAAAACACTAAAATAAAAAGATGTCATAGATAACATATAAAAGACAGTGAATAGTTGTCTGATTTCATAGAGATTTTACAATCCTGGAATCTCAAAGTTGGAGGGAACTTCAGGATGACCTAAACAAACATCTGGTAATTTCTTGGCTTATTGAGATGAGCTGGAATTAGGGAAGAATTCTTGAACCCTGGAGATTCAAGATCAAACCTAGAGAGATGTAATCACTATTCATGCCAGTTATTCATGCCAGCCTGCTCTGTGGGTGGGAGTATTGGCTCTGCAGCTTAATGACTTGGGCAAGTGATGTACTGTTGGATAAACCACATTAAGCTGTTTTAGTGCTTGAATAAGAGAAATATATGTGGAAAGAAAAGTCAGGGATTTATGATACTTTATTTTATGTGGGAAACTTAAAAGGAGCATTTTCATTTATATTTTGTAAATGACTATAAACATCTAGTCAGGTATTTCTAAATGCCTTTTAAGTCTGTCTTACTTTTTATTCTACCCCCATATTAATTGAAAACTCCCATCCTGGGTACATTTTACACTGTATAATTACTTTGTATATATAAGTGCTCCCAATTTTAGCAACAATTGTACTAAGTAAAGTGGACTTACCTACCAAAATCCTGAAGAAAAAGCTATAAGAGAGTAAGAATTTAAATTATAGGGAGAAAACAGCTGAATCAGGATCCTGAGAGTACTGCCTTTGGGAAACACTGTTCAAATTCTGTTTCTTTTAATGTAATTTTTAAAATAAACAATATAATTATCTTTTGGAAAAATTGGAAAATCACGAAAAGTCACACCAGCCTACCACACTGTATAGTTACTGTCATAGATATGTGAATTTCCTTTTTCTTTTTTTGATGTGTGATATAACCAATTTTAATAATAGCAAATATATAATTTTGTATCTTATTTTTGTAATTTCACATAATTTTCCCTTGGTGTTGCGTTGTTTTCCTAACCATATTTTGAAGTGACAATGCCATATTTAATCAGCCATTTCCTAATTATTAGATATATATGTGTATTTATTGCTTCTAGTTATTTATTATCATGTGATAAGATGAACATGTTTGGACATATAGCTTTTTCCATATTTAAAACCTTTTCTTAGAGTGGGTTATTAGAAGTAGAAATTCTGCATCAAAGCATAACATTTTGATGAGTTTTGGTACCTGTTGGGCTTATTTTATTTTAAAGCAAGTGTTTTGGGCTGAATTCTTTATTTGCTTACTTATTGTGATTTTTGGATTTATAAAGAAGTGCTTTTGTTTATTAGCTACATTTTCCAACTGCTCTTAATGCTCTGTCTCTCTCTTTTTTTACCCCTATTTTAGGTTAAATTGATTATCTACCCAGCACAGCATCTTACAGGAAGAACATTGTATTTCTTAGAGGAATGTGAGCATAGCAGGAAGGTGTCATTGACTTTCAATTAAATTTGAACTTGTCTGCTGAACAGCTACAGGGTTTGGAAGCAGAATCAATGTTATCAGATGAGTTAGAATCCAAACCAGAGGTGAGCCCAGTCAGTTTATTTCTTTTTCTTTTGGTGGGCTGTATTTGAAAGTTTATCCTTTGTTAGGCGTCAGCGAACTTTTCCTATAATGATCCAGATAGTAAATATTTTAGGCTTTATGAACCAAACAGTTATGACTGTAACTACTAATTTATTATTTTTCTATTACTAAGTATTTTCTCAAAGATACAAAAATTCTTTTTTCTTTTTTTTTTTTTTTAAGTGGCTGGCCAGTTTGGAGATCCGAACCCTTGACTTTGGCATTATAATACCACACTCTAACCAACTGAGCAACGAGCAACCAGCCAGCCCTAAAAATTCTATTTTTATATTTTGTGATTTAAAAAAAAAATCTATTTAAATAAGTGTAAAATTATTATATATTTAGGTAATTATATATTGACAAACATATATAAAAATATGTATTTAAATGGTTATATTTTTACATACAAATATATTTTTTATATATAATAAATATATATGCGATGTGGATGTGCATATACATATATAAATATTTACTATCACAAACAGTTATTAGTTTTATATATATCTGAAAGTATTTTGTTTCTAAACGTGGAGGATTTTATTTTCATTCATTTTCTCACTTTAATTTTAGCACTTCTGTATTGCATAATGGAAAGGTTGCTGAATTTGGAATTAGATTACTTAAATTTTTGCAATGGATTCTTTATATTCTGGCACTGCTCCTAACTAATCATGTGACTTTAGACAAGTCACTTAATGTCAACTTGATTTCTCATCTGTAAAATATACGTTCAGGGGCCAGCCTGGTGGCACACTGGAGAGTGCGCCGCTTGGGAGCGCGGCGGCGCTCTCGCCGAGGGTTCGGATCCCACGTGGAGACCGGTTCCTGCTCACTGGCTGAGCGCAGTGTGGGCGCAACACCGAGGGTTGCGATCCCGTTGCCGGTCCCCGGTACGGGCGCGACACCGAGGGTTGCGATCCCGTTACCGGTCAGTAAAAAAAAAAAGACAAAAAGGGAAAAAAACAAAACAAAACAAACAAACAAAAATATATGTTCAATCTTACTGGGCTAATGTGAGAATTAATAAGCCAGTACCCAGAAAAAGTGCTTTGTAAAATGTAACCATTACATTGTAGGTAATTTTTTTTAAAAAATAGCTATTCTTTTTTTTTCTTATGACCAGTAAGGGGATCGCAACCCTCTGCATGGTGTGGTCCGCACCACGCTCAGCCAGTGAGGACACCGGCCATCCCTATATAGGATCCAAACCTGTGGCCTCAGGGCTACCGGCACCACACTCTCCCGAGTGAGCCACGGGGCCGGCCCCAAAATTAGCTATTCTTTAAAAATATAATTAATTTTATTATTTCTCTGTTTGATGGAAGGTGACAGAGGTTAACTTAATTACATAGATCAGCCTTTCTCTAGAACAAAGGACTTGATAGAATATTGATTTAAATATTATATTGTAGTTAATCTAGTTTTTTCTTTGAATATGGCTGAGACTAGTGAACAGTAGAGACTTAATTACATCATCGCCTTTTGGTAAATTCCAAGGTTTAGATCCATTCCTAACAACATGTGTTTCTCAGTGTTTTTTCCCTCCCCCCCAGCTCCTGGTACAGTTTGTTCAGAATACATCCATTCCATTGGGACAGGGACTAGTAGAATCAGAAGCTAAAGATATTACTTGCTTGTCTCTCCTTCCGGTGACTGAGTCCTCAGAATGCAGCCGGCTAATGTTACCAGGTAAAAATTAAGATCTCTAGACACAGGATAAAGAAGTCCTGTAAGTGTAACCTACTCTGTGGTATTGGTGGAATGGATAACTGACTATAACTGAGTGATGGAAACTGTAAAAATTAGGAGTCATGGAGAAAAAGCAACTATGGGAGTCATAAGTAGTTTAAACCATATGAATGGATATGATCACCTATAGAGTATGAGGGTGAGAAAAAAAGGCCAAAGCAGAATTCTTTGTAACTCCCTATTTAAGGTTTAGAATAAGGCAGGAGAGCCTGTAAAAGAGGGAAGAAGGAAAGACTATGGTAGTAGAATGAATATTAGCATAGAGTGGAGGCATGGAACCCAAGGGAAGTCAAGGTGTCACATGCTCCTGACAGGCCCAGTGAGGTAGGGACAAATAGGAAGTTTGACCTTGACAGGATCTGTTCTGTGGAGCAAAGAGGGTGGAAAGCCAGGCTGCAGTGAGTTGAGATATCAGTGCAAATTAAGGAAGTAACTAACACTTTCTAAAGACTCTCCCACTATGAGAAGGAAAAAGTAAAGGAAGTAAGGTAGAGAGAAGTTCATTTTTGTTCTTTTAAGAGCTGAGATATTTGAGGGTTGTTTTATGCTAAGAGGAAAGAAGCAATTAGAGAAGCTGAAGACAAATAGTAGATAATTGGTGAGGAGGCTCTGGGAGAAGTAGTAAGAAATAGAATTCATAGTACATGTAGTGAGATTAGCTTTGAATGGGAAGAGGGAAAGCCTATCACTTAACTATTAGAAAGGAGAACATTATTTATTTATTTATTTATTTATTTTATTTTTTTTAAAGATGACTGGTAAGGGGATCCTAACCCTTGACTTGGTGTTGTCAGCACCACGCTCTCCCAAGTGAGCTAACTGGCTATCCCTACATAGGGATCCAAACCCATGGCCTTGGTGTTATCAGCACCACACTCTCCCAAGTGAGCCACGGGCCAGCCCTGGAGAACATTATTTTTGGATGCAATGGACTCTTTATATTCTGATCTTTATTTTAAAACTTAGAATATTAATGTTAAATCAAGGGAGAGTTAATATTAGTCTGTTTGTCACAACTTACTTGTTTGTTATAAAGTCTTCTGGTTACTGACCTCTGCAGGTATTCTTTGATTTTTGAAGTAACTTTAAAACCTTTTTTAATTTTTACAGTTTCAATAAGGACAGATATATTCAGCCAATCAGTGTTAACTTAACACTTTCCTGTCTAGATCCTAGCTCTTCCACATCTTCCATCTCTCCACTCCTGTTTTTCTACTGGAATGTTGGGAGCCATACAAGGGTACTTCAACAAGTTTGTAGAAAAATAGAATTAAAAGATAGTGGGCCAGCCCGGTGGCGCACTGCTACAGTGCGCCGCTTGGGAGCGCAGCGGCGCTCCTGCCGAGGGTTCGGATCCCACATACAGACCGGCCGCTCACTGGCTGAGTGAGGTGCGGGCGCAACACCGAGGGTTGCGATCCCGTTGCCGGTCCCGGTCCGGTAAGGGCGCGACACTGAGGGTTGCGATGCGTTGCCGGTCACGAAAAAAGACAAAAAGGAAAAAAAAAGATAGTACGAATTTTTTATGAACTTTTTGAAATACCTTTGTGTTTTCCAAATCCCCTATGGATTTTTAACATGTGAAAATTTCCAAGTGCTAATAAATTTTGGTTTTTGTTAGGCTTTTTTTCCCCTGAATTTTCTCTCTCAATTTAAATTTATTGAATAAATTTTTTTTTTCCTTTTTGTCTTTTTTCGTGACCGGTAATGGGATTGCAACCCTCAGTGTTGTGCCCGCACCGCGCTCAGCCAGTGAGCGGACCGGTCTCTATATGGGATCCGAACCCTCGGCGGGAGCGCCGTGGTGCTCCCAAGCACCGCACTCTACCGAGTGTGCCACCGGGCTGGCCCTATTGAATAAATATTTTAACAATAATAAAGGAAATAAGAACAGGAACAAAAGCATCCATATTCTTTTAGAATGGTTTTTATCAAAAAGATGAAGGATAACAAGTGTGAGGATGTGGCGAAAGGGAACTCTTGTACACTGTTGGTGGGAATGTAAATTAGTACAGCCATTATGGAAAATGGTACAAAGGTTCCTCAAAAAGTAAAAATAGAACTACCATATGATCCAGCAATCCTACTTGTGGGTATATATCCAAAGGAATTGAAATCAGTATGTTGAAGAGATATTAGTTCCCATGTTCATTGCACCATTATTTATGATAACCAAGATATAGAATCAACTGAAGTGTCCATCAATGGATGACTTAAAAAAAGCATCCATCTTCTTTTCCACATCAGCTTCTTTTATTTTAATTTTGATTTAGAATATTTTAGACATACAAAAAATTATAGATAGTAATAAATGAAAACTGATGTACTTGCCTCCCAGCTCATGAAACACAATATTACAAACAATCGTATCTGCATGTACTCTCTAATCTCATTTCCCTCCCTTCTAGATATGGTGTGTATCATTTTATGGGTGGTATGCTTGTTTTCTTTTTTGTTGAGATATATGATAGATGCAGAAAACTGTAAAACCATATATGTACAGTTTGAGGAATAATTATAAAGGAGATACCCACATAACCCACCTCCCTCCAATCAAGAAGTAGAACAGCTCCCAAGCTCTCCATGGACTCCTCACTGATAAAGACCACCTCTGTTCTTCCATAAGTCACCACTATCTTCACTTTTGTGAGGATATTTCTTTGTTTCCCAAATTTAACTACCTATGCATGCATTTCTAAGCAATGTAGTTTAATTTTAGCTGATTTTGGATTTTAAATGAATGGAATCATATGCATATATGTTGTACCTTTCTTCTTTTACTCTGTCTTTGTGAGGTTCATCCTTATTGTGGATAGTGTGGTTTGTTTGGTTTAATTTGCTGTATAGTATTTTGTTATATGAGCATACAACTTCTTTATCTATGGCACTGTTGATGAGTATTTAGTTGTTTATCAGTACTGTGCTATGAACTTCAATTTTTAATCCTTTTTTGGTGTTGTAAAATCTATGTAACATAAAGTTACCATTTGAAACATTTTTAAGTACATTCACATTTTTGTGCAATCTCATTAAGCCAAAGCCTAATGAAAATGGCAGTACTGTCCACTTTTATTCCTATAATCTTATCTGTTATCTGCTTAAAAGTGGGAAAAGTGTTACCTGCCTTTTATAAAGATGAATGAAAACCCCTGAAAGCATTGGATATTTCAGTACTGTAGTGTAGTTTTTTATTATATTGCAACCAAAACCTTTAGAAATTCTTCCCCTCCCTTAGAACAAAGTTCTTGAGAGCAAGTCTTCTGAATTATTTTTTTACATTTGGTATAAACCCAGAACTATAATGACAGTAAACATTATAATAAAATAAATAAAACTTTAATTTGTTTCCCAGGCTGTGGTTTTTTCCCCCTAATTACTTACCAGGACTGTTACATACATATTATAAGTTTTAAGGAGAGGGGTCTCTCTAAGAAAAATAATTTGAAATTTAGATCCTGTTCTTGAGTTTGTATTCATTGTATAGCTATGTTTTCTAAGGAAAAAGTACTGACTTCTGGCTTCAAAAAGGAGTAAATTCTGTAATGTCCAAATGTAAGTGGTTAGTTATTAGTTACTGCCAAGTGTCAGAGGGGTCTGTTCCTCACATTTTGGCTGACTGCCTATAGAACTTAAAGCCATCTCTTTGTCCTTCTCTGAGGCAAATCTTGTGTTTGTAAAATGAGAATACTGTCTGCTCCTAAAAGGTGTTAGGTACTAAGGGATATTACAAAGGTATTAGGTGCTATGTCTCAAAATGGTGAGTTCTTTGGAGATAGGTGTTACATAAAGCTGTGGTATTTTCCCTTTACTAGATGATACTCCAAGTCATACTAACTCCTCCAAGGAAGTCCCTTCCTCGGCTGTATTGAGGAGCCTTCAGGTGAATGTGGGCCCAGACGGAGAGGAGACGAGGGCTCAAACTGTACAGAAGTCCCCGGAGTTTTTGTCCACTCCAGAGTCTCCTAGCTTGTTGCAAGATCTACAGCCAAGTGATAGCACTTCTTTTATTCTTCTTAACCTAACAAGAGCAGGTATTCTTTACCCTTTTCTGAACTATGTTCATGCTTAAGAAAAAAATTGGGAGTGGGGCATATTTAACTCAGTCATACTTAAAAGATGCCTTATTATTTTATGATTTTGGAGAGTTGGTATGGTCTGGTGACCAATTGAATTTGTAGAGGAAGAGGAAGGACTCTAGGATGACATAAGTATTTCTTGTTTGGGAAATTAGATAGCACAAGAAGAATAGGGCTTGGAGGAGGATGATTAGGTCTGGTTTGTGCCTGTTGTATTGAGGTTTTGGAGGGACATTCAGGAGGAGGTGTCTTTTAAAGAGTAAGAAACAGAAATCCAGCATTCTAGAGAGGTCTGGTGTGAAATAAGTAGTTTGAGTTCTTATCAGCATTTAGGAAACGTATGAAACAATGAGCATGGATTCTTCAAGAGAAATCTGAATCTGAAGCATAAACAGAAAAGAAAGCAAGTCTGGGACCCTAAAAAAAATAAAAAACTTTTAAGAGAGTGACAGAAGAATGGGAAGGAGTGGCTGAAAAGGGATGAAGAGAACTGGAAGAAGACTAGAGTTGGGGGGTGGGGAGGCCAAGGTTGGAAAAAGTTTTAAGGAAGAAAAACTAAATCAAATACTATAGGATGGGCTAGTGAGATGAAATGTGTGTCTAGTGACTTTAGCAAGAGCAATTGTTATTGGGGTAGAAGAGGTAAAGACCAGAGTCAAAGGGATGAGGAGTGGATAGCAGGTGAGAAAGTGGATATGCAGGTTGGAAGTTACACTTGTTCAAGAAACTTGACTTTGAAGAAATAGGTAAGAAGATAATAGCTAGAGAAGCACTTGGGGTTTTCTATCCTTTTTTTAAAAAAAAGATGGGAGAGACTTTGAGCTAGGACTCATTTAAAGACTGTAAGGAAAAGCGGGCCAATAGAGAGTACTAGGTTACAGTCGGGGGAGAGAGGAGATAACTGAAGGACAGAAAAGGATAACTGAAGAATGGGATTGGGATAATACAGGTGGGGATTAGCCTGGTTGCCAGGAAGGACAGCTTTGCCTCTGAAACAAGAGGAGGCAAGGTAATGACAAGCCTGTAGGCTGAGGGTAGAAAGGTGATTGCCTAATCATCTATGAGAACAGAAATTTGAGGCGTGAGGTGAAGTTCTGGAATAGCTGATTCAGGACACAGAGTTTCTGAGCCAGGGCAAATAAAAGGATTGCTTGATGGCTTACTTTCATATATCCTTTTGTTTCTTCCAGGTCTGGGCTCTTCAGCTGAACACTTAGTGTTTGTACAGGATGAGGCAGAGGATTCAGGTAATGACTTCCTCTCCAGTGAGAGCACGGACAGTAGCATTCCATGGTTCCTCCGGGTTCAGGAGTTGGCCCATGACAGTTTGATTGCTGCTACTCGTGCACAACTAGCAAAGAATGCAAAAACCAGCAGCAATGGTGAGACCCCTGTGGCATTTTCCTTTCCAGTATTCTATGCCAAGAAATTTTGGGAATGTAGTGGCTATATTTTTAGTTGTATATAATCCAAGTTATTTTATTGGAGAGAGCAGAAGGCTAGAAATTTGTAAATTATTTGTCTTATTTTCTGTATAATAACTTGGCCATGTCAAATTTTTTTGCAGAATCAACTAAACTAGTATTCTGAACCCCTTTTAAGGGAGAAAAATATTCACAGATCGTGTGGTTACCTTGAATTGTTTTTATAGTAATGTTCTTTAAATATGTAAAAACATAAATTCTGTGTAAACTTCTTATAGTCAGAGCTCTTACACCATCATGAAATTAAAATAGTTTTATTAGTTAACAGGAATAAAACTATGAAGTCAATCAAAGTAAAATTAAATCAGTGTGGCAGATGATGTTTTGCTGAAACTAAATTTCTGTTCATGGCAATCTAACAATTAGCTATAATGGTTTTAGTGTTCTTTTCAGTTCAGCATTCCTACTCTGTGCCACTTTTCTCTATTCCAGTAATTTTCAAAGTATTGTCTTTGGATCGTAAGCATTAACTGGGAACTCAGAATTGCAAACTCTCAGGCCCCATCCCAGACCTGCTGAATGATAATAAACTTGATTCTGATGCATGCTCAAGCTTGAGAACCATGGGTCTGTCTATTCAAAACATTCCAAACCACTGCAAAACCTTTGTTTATGTAGCATGCCATTAATACTTTTTTGTTTTAGGTCTGTCTCTGTATTTTCTTATTAATCTGTGATAATTAAATTAGTACTATATGGTTCAGCACTATCATTACACAAACCAAGCTTAAGCATTGAAATCTTATGTCTGTACACAGCTGTATGTGTATGGACACGTACAGATGATCTAGAATATGTTTATGACTTTTTAAAAATTAAATTCATACGAAAATAAAATGTTAAAAAATTTCTCATAAGAACTCAAGGATCTTATGAATATTTCAGAATATTCCAGTTTTAGAAACTTTAACCTAAATCTTTCCTGCACAGAGAACGTCAAACTTCTGTTTTCCAAATGATTAGTTCTGTTTGTGACTACCATAGTGCTACTTAGAATGGCTTATTTTACCATTTTGGGGAGGGACTCTAAAGTTCAGATTCTTCCTGAGATGCTTTTGCCAATCGTTGGATCCTGAAACCTTCAGCATTTTCAATTGCATTGAGGATGTAGTGCTATATTTGCCAATGAGAAGCAGTGTAGGGAGGGATCTTGGGATTTAGAATCTGGGGCCTGGGATCCAGACCTGGGACCATCGTTTACTAGTTTCCTGTCTTGGGCAATTTAATGTTCCTTGCCTTCAATTTTCTCATGTTTAGAACATAGAGATCAGATAGCTTACGTGATTGTATTGTTATGGAGATTAAATAAAATTCTATCTGGGAAGTGCTTTATAATCAGCAAAGCGTTGTGTGGATCTTTTCTCACTCTCCACATATGTTACCTTTCTACCTTAACTGCCTTGTATGCCTGAATATAAAATGAGCCCAAATATAAGACAGTCTTCCATTTTCCCAATGAGATGTTTTCCTAAGAGCTTTTTTTCCCTTAGATATATAAATCTTTAGGTATGTTGATAAAATTAACATTGTAAGTTGCTATTTGAAAATTTTATAATTTTGGTTATATGTATACTTTATTTATTATTATTATTTTTTATATTTATTTTTTAAAAAGATGACTGGTAAGGGGATCTTAACCCTTGACTTGGTGTTGTCAGCACCATCCTATCCCAAGTGAGCTAACTGGCTATCCCTATATAGGGATCCAAACCCGCAGCCTTGGTGTTATCAGCACCACACTCTCCCAAGTGAGCCACGAGCTGGCCCTTATTTTTTTTATTGTTATTTTTTTTGTGTGTCTGGCCAGTAAGGGGATCTGAACGCTTGACCTTAGTGCTGCAACACCATGCTCTAACCAACTGAGCTAAACTGGCCAGCCCAATATACATGTACATGTTAAATCATATGAAATATATTAACTTAATATTGTTTTTCACCCACTAACATATAGTTAAATGATGTTATCAAATATTTTAGTGCATTTGTAACATAAATATCTTTGTCATTGTAATTACTGAAGCTACTTTGTGAGTCCTCTAGCACAGCTTTTCAGAGCACATCATTTTCACTTTCATCTAAGTTGCTTGAAAGGTAGAAGTATTTTAATTTTGTAGGTGATGCTGAATATCAGGTTAGCAAAGGCCTTTGGGCCAAGTCACCATCTATTTTTGTAAAGTTTTATTGGAAGAAAGGCATGCCATTAGTTATAAATTGTCTACTATGACTGCTACTGTAGCCAAGTTGAGTATTTGTGACCAGAGACCATATGGTTCTCAAAGCCAAAAATAATTACTGTGAGGAAGAGTTTGCTGGCCCCTGCTATTTGTGATACCCTCAGTGGAAATTTTAACTCAAACACAAAGACCTATTCATGTAACTATATAATTATAGGATCTTTAAAGTGGTTACAGCATTATGCAACACTCGCAATCATGAGGTGCTGAATTTGTCTCTTTTTTTTTGAGCCAGTTTTATCAGGTAACCTCTGAATATCCAAAACTGTCATTGGTTGAGGCTATTTTATTTTATTTTATTTTTTTTATTTTTTGTCTTTTTTCGTGACCGGTAAGGGGATCGCAACCCTTGGTGTGGTGTCACCCGCACCGCGCTCATCCAGTGAGCGCACCGGCCATTCCTATATAGGATCCGAACCCGCGGTGGGAGCGTCGCTGCGCTCCCAGTGCCGCACTCTACTGAGTGCGCCATGGGCCGGCCCAGGTTGAGGCTATTTTAAGCTGTCTTCTCCAAACAGTTCTTTGTTTTCAAAAACAAAGTAATTGAGGGGGCACTCCTTAAAGTGAGAGCTTATTTAAGAACTCAAATACAAGGCAACTCACTCTTTTCTGAAGGATTTTTTTTTCTTTTTTAAATTTTGGTGGCTGGCTGGTATGGGGATCCGAACCTGTGACCTTGCTGTTATCAACACCATATTCTAACCAGGTGAGCTAACTGGCCAGCCCCAGAAGGATTTTTTTAAGGGAAAAATTAGCCTTATATTTGAACATGTATTGGTAATCTTCAGTGTTGAGGAGGAGGGATTCCAATGGTTTCTTAGCCTCACTTTATTCCATGTATTTATTTTTTTCTGTTTTATGATTATGTCAGTGTTGTTATTGTCTCTCCAAAATTGAATGTTCAAAGCCCCAACTGTCACTGATTTAAATCTCTGGATTAGAGTGAGGTTTCTACAGACCTTTCATTAGAAATTAAGTAGCTGTAGGTCTGGGGTTGAAGAGAAATTTCCTACGTGGTATATGCACTTTCATGCTATTTAACTTTTACCTATGTGTAGGTATTACTTTTTTTTTTTTGTAAGGCTAGTCAAATGAAGCATTGGAAGTGGAGAAGGAGCAAAGAAATCTGTAACTGATTGTAATCGATTAATTATAAATACCAGTGCACTTGTACCACCCTACTTTTTCAATTAATTTTTTAAAAACTGAGACTTGCCAAAGATGAGGAGAACTCAAGACGGAGAGAGTCTAGAATGGAATCAGGTAATTGTTGAAATGTCTGGCCATGGGAAGCAAAGGGAAGCCAATACAGGAGTGAAGAGGAGGAACTGGGTTTCAGGGAGTGTGCGTGTCTTAGTCCATTTTGTGTTGCTAGAACAGAATACCTGAGACAGGGTAATTTATAAAGACAAGAGGTTTATTTGTTGCATGATACTATAAGCTGGAAAGTCCAAGATCAGGCAGCTGCATCTGGTGAGGGCCTCAGGCTGCTTCTCATGGCTGATTGGGCCTATGCAGCGATCACATGGCAAGGCAGGAAGCAAGAGAGAGGGAGGGGAGGTACCACATTCTTAATAAGCAGCTCTTGAGGGAACTAGTAGAGTTAGAACTCACTCATACACCCCTCCTCCCCTCCAGGGAGGGCATTCATCTATTCATGAGGGATCAACCCCTGTGACCCAAACACCTCTTACTAGGCCCCACCCCCCAATCTGCCACATTGGGGATCAAATTTCAACATAAGTTCTGGTGGGGCAAACGGTATTCAAACCATAGCAGATAGGTACAACATACATATCCTACCCTTGGCTTTTGAGAGAAAAATTTGGAAATATAAATCTTATTTCTAAAAAAAAAAAGAAATCTTATTCCTAAGGTATGTATAATGGAAAGATAAACTCCATATGCTCATAGCAGAATTAAGTGACTATGAATGTTTTTCTCTATTAATGTCCAACTATGTCTTGAAGCAAATGAAAGAAAATGAGCACTTACTAATCTGGAATTTATATAAATTTTTAATTAACTGATTTCATTTCAACTTAAGGGTGTCACTGTGTACTCCTCTCTTATTCTGTTGAACAAAATTCCAGTAGATATTATCTCTAAGTTTTTAAAAATGTGGTTAGAAATAAAAAAAATCTGAGTTTGTATTCTTAAATATTTTATAACTAAAGAGGGGTGGTACAGGGCCGGCCTGGTGGCGCACTGGATAGTGCACCGCTTGGGAAGTGCGGCGGCGCTCCCGCCCGAGAGTTCGGATCCCACATACAGACCGGTTCCCGCTCACTGGCTGAGCGAGGCG